AAACCACAGTGCATGAAACAAAAGACTTGCCAAAATGCTGTTTACACCATACTGTTCATATGATGCATGTGACTCAATAAGCAACCCAGACACCCCAAGCAGCAGACATACTGTAACTTTATGAGCCTTTAACTGCTAACCTGGAGCTCATCCAGATCTTTTTTTTTAGAGCTAATTGGTCTTCCTCCATTGATTTAAGTGATGCTGCTAGTCCATAGCCAAGCTGATACATTTGAAAACAATCGGCCATGCTGAAATAAAGGGAGAGAGAGAGGGAATGCAGGCCACTGGGATGCATTCAGTGGACTCCAATTCAGTTCAATGATGTACAGTAATTGTCAAGAGACACTAAAGCCTGAGAATCACCGCCACATTGCAGGACGAACGAACACAACCAGCAAGAGCGTTACGCAGCTGGCTTAGCTGACACTTATGAAATGTGTTTGAAATACCCACAAAGTCCGCTGTTTGGGGGAGGCTGTGGGTGTTCCACACTGTTATTTTGGGCTCAGTCCCAGTATCCAGTTCGTAGTCGTGGGAGTATTTATTTATGTACTTCATTCTGTGTCCTGATGATCCTGATAGAAGCACACACGCAAAGGTCAGAGAGATCCTGTCTACATCCCTTTGCCTCTTTTTGGGGTCATCCTGGGCCAAATGAAATCTTCCCGCTCAGCCTTTTTGGAAAGGGGAGTGCAGTTACAGATACTGTGACATTTTGGTGAATACTGTACAGGATATTAATGTTGTTGTACAGTATGGCATGGTGTAGTACAATATTGCAATGTATACTATAATGTAATGCGGTGTTCATGAATATGGTATATTTTAATATAGGAGTGCGTAATATGATATGGTTCAATGTGGCATAATCTAATTTGTTGTTTTACGATTGGGTTTAAAATATTATTGTTTATATTATACTTTGGTGTGTCATTGTATAGTATGTATATGTTATAATATAGTGCAGTGCAGCATAGTATACCATAATGTAGGTTAACTAGCATGATTGCTATATAGCATACACTGTATGTATACACTGCATAGTAATGTGTATAGCAATGTCTAGTGCTTTTTATTGTAGTGTCGTATAGTCGTATAGTATAGTATCGTTACGATACTATACTATATGATACTATACTATACGAGTATAGTATCATTACGATACTATACTAACCGATACTATCGTGTACAATAGTATCGTATAGTATAGTATGGTGCAAGGGATGGGCAATTCCAGTCCTCGAGGGTCCATATCCTGCATGTTTTAAATGTCTCCCTGCTTCAAGATGAGTCCAGACTCGAGTATTACAGCCCTGCTTCTAAGATAGGCGCGTGAGCAATTGCGCACTGCTTTCACCCTCTCCGCACACAGCAAATGTATGCAGCAAATAAATAAATAAATAAATAAATAAATAGGTATATAAAAAATCGAATCTGAGCTCTATTTGCATTTTGCATGTTTATATTGGCATTTACAAATTGAAAAGTTTATTTGGCACATGTGGTTGATGGAGCGGGAAAGAAATAGCAGAAAAAAAAAAGACTGCAAAGCAGGGCGAGCACACGTGTTGTAATCATTGTCACACATGAACACATTGCTCTTTGGTAAAAGCCGGCCATACAAGCAGATGCAAGTGTTGTCCAGCATTCACGCTGTCCACTCGTCACCTCACCAAACCGACCGGGGGTGAAAGGTGCCTCGATGTTTCATGGGTACGTTGATGGTCATGTGTTTACAATTCACATGAGTTCTGGCAACTCGTCCTTCTTTTGTCACCAATGCCATGTGCAGCAAATGTTCACCCTTCGGTTGGCTCAGTCAAACATAAGTCAAAGCCTCCTGCCTCCGCTACTCCAGATCAATGTTTACAAAGGTGAGTTTAGATCCTCTATGAAAACGATGATGATACTGTATGAAAACTCACAATATTGTTAACATTACTATTATTGGGGGGGAAAAAAAGCACACTATTGTGTTTGGTACCGAACAGCTGTGACAAAGAAAGAAGATTGGTCAGTCATTTTAGTGTCAAGCGCTGCTCTAGGATCGTGGTCATAACACGTTATATTGAGACACTTACGTGCTTGCGTGTCACACATTGTGAATCAGGTCAATGTGTGGAGAATTATGGTGGGTCTTAAACATAGGTGGCCAAAACCTGCCTCATTCAAATTTAACAGCACTAATAAACTAACCAGCAGAGGGCGCTGGAACCTGACAAATGGAAAATAACCTGGCCTAATGAACAGATGTGGTGCTTTTAAAATGACATGACAACAACGATATTTGTGGCAATTTTAATTTCGCGATTGGCAATTTCCTAATGAACAGGTCTCGAAATACAGTACAAACTGCAAAGTTTAATACGCATTGGCTCTACTATCATTTTAATTTAACTGTCTCCTTTTAATTAATACATACCTTAAAGAATTGTAACGTAAAATAATGACAGTAATACAAGAGCAGCTGCTTGCTGGTGCAATATACATTGATTTACGTATTAGTCAACCTATCACAACTACTATCGGTGACTACTAGACACAATAATCGTTTGTGGAAGCACTAAACACAATACAACAATTATATGAGATCCAACTTAAGTTTGAGAAATTCTCATCAATCTCGTACATGTCACGGGGGCAATAAATCAATGCAGAGAAGCAGAAAAAAAGATAATTCATTTTGATATGCAGAGTGTTACTTCAATTATGTGTATATTTTTGTGGTTCGAGTTTGCAGTGGAGTACAACCGCAATGAATCATGTTCAGAGTTCTTTCTCACATTTTGGACACATTGTTTGACTCACATGAGCGGGTAAACATTATGTTCCGCACCACTGCCACCTCATACATATTTTAAGGTGCATTAAGATTCTTTCTAAATGCATTGTCACATTCACATTACAACATTAATATTTACACAGCGATATCAACTTTTGGACACAATATTGGGTACACTTCCTCAATCTAATGCGAGAGTTCCATCAAAAATTCTGACTTTACACTATTTGTGTCTGACGTTATGACGGGACTACTAATAAAACAGCATGTTTGCTATTGGGTTTTTTTTTGTTTTTTTTTTCTGTTCTTTGGGCAGTAGTGTACAATTGCACGATACCAGACTGATATGTGCCCCCCGCCCCCCTTATAAACTTAAATGATTCAATAAAGTAGGCACCTCAGATCTGGACGCAATGACTTTCTTGTTGAAAATTTTACATTTTACAAGAAGAATGAACTTGTCAGTACTGTAAATGTGTGCATCTATCTATCTAGCTATCTAATAGGAGTATCTTGTCAATAAAAGGCGACCCGATATCTCTATTTTGGGGTGCGGTACAATTACAGGACTGATTAGTTTGTGTACCGATGCACTCATATCTTTGAAATCAAAACTCATTGCCCGATTCGCATTGGGTTTTCAATAGACACAGTATTGTCTGTTTGCTTGTTTCTGTTTTTATCAAAAACATCATCCCACCACGAGCGCAATGTGCTAGCTCGCCGCGACAGCCCTCAGATGTTTGCTGGTCACGAGTGGTGTTTATTTTGATTTTATGAAACAAGGACGGCGAGACACTCATGTTGAGCTGAAGACACGCAGCCTCCCTTGAGAGCGGTTTGTTCAATTCAAATGTCAGTATTGATTGACCAGCTGCATGAAGTGATATCGCTTTCAACCCACTCCCTAACCCACCTCTTCTACTGTGATATGCCTGACCCTTCATTCACTGAAAGACAGCATGCTCCCTTCCCCTCATGTAAAAAAAACACAATGTGAAGTTATGGCCTATTTTGCTCAGGAAATGGTTTCTGTTATCATTGACGATTGCAATCTCATGCAGCTGAGCTGGACATGCCTTTCAGACAGACCCCTTCTCCGAATCCCTCCAGGAGATTTGACTCACTGGAGCTATTTTTGTCAAACAGTCTGCATGACTTGATAAGTGCTCAGGAAAAGCTGAATCAGACGTGAGGGATGTGTCGGATCCATATGGAGTAATATGCAGAGCATCCTTTCTCGTATACAATGCACTGTTAACAAATGGACCTTGTTTGGTTGCTACAGGATGCTCTTAGAGTAAGTGCTTGTGTGGTTTTTACCTTATTTTGCCAAACACAGCTGGACATAACTGTCTTTTTTTTTAATGACAGTTACAATTTGGGAGCCATTTGTTCAGAACAGGACAGCTGCTCACTAGTCATATCAATGATGTTTGTTACAATAGAGTGTTTGCTCTTTCCCGTTCCACTCCCAAAATAGAATAAATCGGATCTGTCTCTCTCTCTCTCTCTCTCTCTAAATCAAAACAAAACTGTGCCTCAGTCATTAAAAAAAAACAACAAAAAAAAACTAAAAGACTCAAAAATCGCCTCACTGTTAACTCTGTGAACTTCATTTTCAGCAGCATCACACCGATTTGTACATCAACTTTTTGTGAGGCTTGAAACTGGTGTGAAGCTTTTCAGTTGCACAAGCAAACCCAATGTCAATACTATAAGCCAGGGGTGGGCTACCTACGGGCAGTGGGTCAATATAATAATCATAATACAGCATAAGAATCATATCTTATTCAGAGTCACCTTTTCAGAAAACACAACAAAGTAAACTAAATAGTGAATGAATAAATCTTTAATTTCAGGGGTAGAACTGCCTGACGTGTTGAACCGAGGATGTGAACAGTTTTAGCAGAGGTGGGTCAGCATCATAACAAGATGATTTAGACAAAAAATAATTTTATCATTTTAAGGAGGTGAGGTGAAGATGTTTGATGATATTTTTTTTTCCCGTGCATTTCGTATGGACCCTGAGAGGAAAAAGGCTGCCCACAGCGACAGAGCTATGAACACACACTGTGATGAATGCGCCTTTAAAGTTAACATCAGAAGAGTCCACGCCAATAAATCAATTGCCTCGGCCCAAACACGAGAACGTGACCCAAAAGCTCCAATTGAGCGAAGCATGGGAAAGGAAGGCAAAGTTTGGACATCTTACCTTCACGCCATAAGTTTGAGCGGTTCTCGGTCGCTGCTTGCGTTCTGTTGCCTCCGTTTAAATCCAGCATTGGCAATTAGCTCCCCACTTTATTCGTCTTCATTTGCTTTGCACCTTGCGGACTGGTCTCACGCAGCAGCGAGCGGGTGAATCGACTCGTACGAGGAGGCATAGGGGGGGCACGCTTGGAACAACGCCACAATAACACTTCAGACAGAAAGGACATCGAAATGACCATAAGAGTAATGCTCGGCCCGCTTTAAATCACCAATTGGTCAATAAAAGCGCATTTCTAGGAATACTTTGAGCGAGAGGCAGAGCGGATCCAAGGTGCGGCTTTTACGCACGGAGTTACCTTCCGTACTGACGAAGTGAGGAGGCGCACGCCGACTACAACAAGTGAGCAAGAGGAGGAAAGAAAAGGCGGGGTTTACATCTGCCGGAGTGCTCAACGTGCACACTTTGCCGGAAGAGCGCCCAATAAGCACACTGTGCCTTCCGCCGCTTCTCGGTTCTTGGAATTCTCCGCTGTCCGCTCAAACGTGCGTAACATACGCGCCGTCTTGAGACGGCGTCAGCTGGGAGCAACGTGGACACGTTTTCATGCGGTTGACCAGTGCATGAGTGGAGGTGGTAACGTAGCGGGAAATTAAAAGGGTATTCAATGGAAATTAAATTTGGAAGGATGTGCTTTAAACAGCGGAAACGTGGCTGATGCTCGAGGCGTGGTATTAGGGCGCATGATGAGACACTCCATCCTCCTTAAAGGGCTTATTCCGTTTAAGCACTTACAAACAGAAGTACGCCAAGTTCGGAGCACCGTTTGTAAAACAAAGAGAGCCAACTCCTTCAAGGAACTAGATAATGATTTTAACTTGGTTCATTTGTGTGATTGAAGAGCCTTATTTTTAAATGGGGAAATCACGGAATTGAAGCTCTCCGATCAATTCACAATTTTATAAGAACCAAAAAAAGAACTGTGTCAAAAATATTTCACAGTGAGGATTGAAATATTAGACACAGTATAATGCAACGCCATTAAGTGTTATTCTAGAGCACAGGTGTCAAAGTCAAGGCCCGGGGGCCAGATCTGGCCCGCCACACTGTTTTATGTGGCCCGCGAGAGCAAATCAATCATGTCAAGTTCCACGATGCTTGCTAAAGTCTGAACCAAAATTTCACATTGTCATATGTAATCCACAATAAGAGTCATTATTCTTGACTTCTGATTGTAAAACTAGTTATTGATCAATTTGTTTTGCGCTGTGTATGTAATATGCGGACGGAATTAAACATTTATATAGTTTCCCAAAATTCATAACGGCCCTCCAAGGGAAACCGTAACTACAATGTGGCCCGCGACACAAACGATTTTGACACCCCTATTATCTTGGGCTTTGATGAACGTGTTGAATTATTTCTCACTCTCTATATTACAAAGTAAAATATATTCAGAAAACCATTCCACAGTCTGTGGGAAATCTCGCTGGATGCCACCATCATGCTGGGATCAAGTCAAGGAAAGATCCTGTCGCTCAAGTGTCTGCTTGTTTCAGAAAAGCAAAGCACACCAAGTGCCAGCACAGCAGACCTGCGTCGACTCAAAATGATGCACCCTCAAAATGCATGTGCAGTTTGGAGTGGGAATACACCAACAAACCTAAGTGATGACTGCCGTCAGGAAACTTTACAGCCTGCTGTCACCTGATATGGCCTCTATTAACTTGACTTGATGAGGGGGATCGCAACAACATCGTTCTTTTTTTATGCACCGCTAGTTGTCACTTTAAGGTTTAGGCCCATGAAAAATCACGAATACACACATTGCCTGTGAATCCAGTGTGAATATTTTTGTCACAAAATTGTGCTAAGTACTCGGCCATATCACATAAAAAAAAAAACTTCTTCCTAGCTATCCACTGAAAATGTCAGTTTTTATGTTTCTTTTCTTTTGTGGTCTTGTTATAATTTCTTTTGTGCTCTTGTTATAATGTGTCGAGATGCCACAACATGGTACAACAGCACTGGCTAAAAGGGAAAGTAGTAATTGTTGTCGAAGCTAAAGTTCATCCCCGATGCATCCCCTCTGCGAATGGGTGCACCTTCCATTCTTTGAGACAATTTAAACGCTAACTATATCCATGTTTTTGGATGACACAAATTTTGTATCTCCTCATGCACTTCAAAGCCAACTATAGGCAGCTGAGTTTGTGTTTACATGTGGTGAATTTTGGAGCAGTTTCATAGTTGAGCTGAACGATAACGTTATCTCTCTTAGGTACAGTTCAGTTGTGATTAATTGAAAATACAGTGAAATACATTTGCATTTAATCTTTAAGGACTGTTTAGCATTAATTGAGGTACAGTTCATATTTAATGGATGGGTAATACATTTTAATTATTTTTTTTAATGACAGTTTTTTTTTATATTTTTAACCATACTTCAGTGCAGTGTGAATGTTCAAATGTGCATAATGTAACGGGGTCTGACAAAAAGATGAAAAATGCTGATTAGGAATAAAACCTGAAATATTGGTCCCACTGTCCCTCATGTTTATGATGGCAGCATTTGATGGAAAAAATAATGCATTCAAATTAAGGAATTTCACACAAAAATATGAATGAGCTCAAGGGTGAATACAATGTAAAACATTCAAACGCAACATTCTTAATCACAAGTGACAAGCATTTGGCATCGAGTTTACGTCTCGACAGCTTCATTCCGTGCTCGTTATCAAACGGCCATAAAACATCAAATACTCAAATACACAATGCCAGTTTAAAAGATTTGTATCAAAGCCCACTGTTCCAAAAAAGGTGATCAATCGTCAAGCCTCCCTTGGGAAGCCAACAGGAAACAGGGACAAAAACAGAAAATGGAAACCTCCTGAAATAGAAGCGGTAACACAAGCGACACCTTTGCTCAGTCATCCAACTATCACGGCGCTGAAACATTCGATATGCTGGCCAAGCAACAGCAAGAGATTGCTTACTTCACGGCAACTTTTACTTAGTTCATCTTCTTCCCTTACTGCTTTCTTTTTTTAGCAAAGTGCAATGAAAGGAAAGTGCAACCATATGCAGAGTTCATCCTTTGGCCCTACCAGAAATCTGACACCTACTTAGCTACCTAGCTACCTACCAATCAACCTACCTACAGTTCATACCGTGAACTGAGGCAATTGAGTAAATAATTTGAAATAATATGCCTATTTTTAAAACTATAACTGTGAGATGGAAAAAGTGTCTGGGAAGTGGGGGGAGAGGGGGGGAGAAAGTCGGGGCTTCCCTGCTGAAGCTGCTGCCCCCGCAACCTGATCCTGGATACACGGAAGTCGGATGGATGGATGGGATCTGTGAGCAAGCTAATGTGAACTTCTGTCCTTTTTCGGCAAAATGGCCGCCCACTGAGATGGCAAAAAAAACGTGTGGATGTTGTTGCTTAACTCATTTTCCACAAATGCAATATTCATGAGAAGGCTTTGTTCAGCATAGTGGGACCCCAGACAAAATATTGTAAAGAAAATTTCGGGGTTGACTTCCCCTTTAATATTGATGTCTTATGGATGTATTGATTAATTGATTGATTGATTGAGTCAAATTATTCAGACATCCGATAAGCTAGTGCTCTTGTTCAAATAAAAGAAGGAAAAGTTATTTTTCTTCCAGCAGAAAAAAAGCCTGCAGGCAGCGTTTATTGATTTCAAAAGAAATTCTCTAAAATGCAAAGAGAGCGAGAATGGCAGACAGAAACAATTAAACTAGAAAACTGGAAAAAGCCTGACGGGATCGGTGTGGGAAGCGGTGGATCTAAAAAAAGTGAAACTAGAATAGAAATAGGTAGAAAAATTGATTTCCCACGGTAAAGACAGTTAAAAGCAATGTTTCTCACTTAATGGGGGGGGGGGCGGGGGGGGGTGACAAATCCAGAGAGCAACAGCAGAGCGCCGTTACTTTTTCTTCATTTAAAGCCAATAATTATCTCATTGAGCTGGCTCGGCCAAAGCAATTATGCACTTAAATGAATATAAAGGAAGAGAGATGTCGACGCTCAATTCAACATCCGGATGCTGCCTTCAAATGGAGGGTTTATGGCCCTTTTTTCCTGAGTGACCCTTTTTTTTCCTGTGCAGTGTGTGACAGCAGATAAAAAAAGATAAAAGAGAAAGACAGAGCGATGTCCTGAGTGAAATCCAAGCACAGGAGTAGGTAAATAAATCATTAATGCTGAATTATTTTCTTTTTTATTTTTTTTTAATTGAAAGAAAAAGAAATATTGTCTACTTCACGGAAGGACTTTTGGTCAACAGAAGCAGAGCCAACTTTAGGCTCCTTTTTGATGGCAGGAGCAGACGCTGGAGTGCAGATAGATTAGCTCGAGGTCATTCAGCGCCTTCGCCAACACGCTCAGTAGCCTTCTGCCGACGCGTGCGACTGCGGACGACGAGGATGAATTGGTTAAGATGCTCTCTGCTCGCACGTCATAGGATTTATTGCAGACGATGGCAACTTCAAAAAGCTTTTCTCCCCCGGCGAGTGAATGAGTGTGAAGTGATTAAATGCGCTTTCTCGAGGACAGTAAACAGTGAAGGACTTGCTCACCCGAGTTGGACTCATTTGGGTATCAGTAAATCTGCAGAAATACTTCAGAGAAGCGAGCAGTTAAACGGGCATTATGTGGACAACTGTACAGTGGAAAGCAACTGCTCTCTCATGTGTGGCTAATTAGTCCTCTGAAAAGCCACGGCGCTGCTGATGAAAGCTTTAACGGAGAAAATTGTTTTCCTGCCTCCAGTTTATTACATCCACCAAAAGAGTTAAATGATTTATGGATGAAGTCAAGGACGCAGGCAGAAACAGTACAACGGAGTCTTTCGGTGTAAGTGGGAGTTCTGTTCCTTCACACCTAAATTTAATGGAACATTCTAATAAAATATTGGTGGTGGCCGGATGGGTCAGCGGGGAACACTGCTGAGTTTAGGCATGGGGATTGAGGTTTAAATCCCGGTTAGGATAAACGATAACATCCATTTGGGTTGCTAGGTTAAAAAAAAAAAAAAAACCTCGGCCACAAACATTATGCGAGTGACTCCTCGGTGTTGCAGAATGTTGCGTCTTCTTCATCGAAAATATTAGTAGGAAAATGTGTGTTATTTTTAACCACAGCTACTGATAACCTGGTAACCGATTTTCTCCCTTTAATTTATCAGTATGATTAGTTTTTAAATCCTGTTGGATGAAAATCTTGACCCAACAGGTCAGGTCAAATTCTCAACATAATGCGCTGGGTATAAAATAACCCAACATTCCCTGGGTCTCTGGACCCAGAGCTGGGTTGGCTATTTCAGCCACTTGAGGTTAGATTTAACCCAGCAGTTTTCCGAGTGTGCTAATTTAAGATTTGGTTTGAATGTGTTTGTACGCAAGAATGAAGTCATAATTAGAGTGCTCCTCGAT